TTACTCATTTCATGATATATATCGTATAAAGCTAAACACACATATTTTAATCAAGATGGCTGCTAGAAGCTTCTAATCCCTCCTTCCCCCCCCTCCTAACGTCGACTAACTACCTCGTGCATCAAGATGGCGCCGGGAAAACCGTGGGAGACCCTCATGGCCCCGGTGACATCACCTACAGTAGGCAGAGCATTAGAGCAAGCACTTAACACCTAACCAATTGTTGATGTATTATTCCATGTTATCTCTGACAATGCATATGATGTAATTTTGCTTTAAAAGGGACTTGCCGTCCCCTCTGAATAAACATTCCTCAAGTTATTCAACAACCTGGAACCTGCGTCTGGTGTGAATTACTTCAGGGAGCGTGCACGCATTGTTTCATTGATTTGGCCAGGGGCAGATACACAAAGAAATAATCAATACTTTAATTGATTTTTCCACTTCAGTTATAAAATATTTTAATTAATTAATTAAATAAATTGAACCCCTGAGGGTTAAAAAATAAATAAAAAGTTAATCCTCAGGGGTTAAAAAAAATTAGATTTAATACTGTGATCTCTATTTGATCGCTGTAGGCAGTGATCGACTGGCAGGGAAGGGGTTAATTTTTATTTGGACTAGGTAAAGGGTTTTTTTTTTTTTTTTACTTAAACGTTATTAAAACATTTTTTAAGCTTAATTTTTTACTTTTTAAAGGTTATTTTAAAACTTTTTTAACGTTAACCCCTAGTTAGCCTAACGCCAAATCCCCCAATTCCCCACTAACTTCCACCCACCCCAGCTAGCTAAATATATAATTTTAAAATATTTTAATTAATTAATTAATTAATTAAATAAATTTAACCCCTGAGGGTTAAAAAAAAGAATTAACCCTCAGGGGTTAAAACTAAAAAATCAGATCATAGTAAAATGTAATCCCTGACAATTGATCACTGTAGTCAGTGATCAATTGGCAGGGAAGGGGTTAATTTTTTATTAAAATGGGTAAGGGGGGGGGGGACTTTAAATAAACTTTATTTATTTTTCCAGCAGGGGGCAGGATCAGCACTGATCCGGCTCCCTGCACTTCACACAGAACCCGGAAGTGCAGGGAGCCGGTAGGTAAGTATACAGAGCACATGTGCTCGCTCAGACTTGCGGTCAGAGCGAGCACATGTGCTGGGCAGCCTGACCGGGTGCTCCCGGTATGCCTCTAATGCAGAGGCATACCGGAGCACCATTAACCCCGCTTCGCCGGTCTGGCGGCACTGGTGTCTGAAGGAGGAGGAGTCTGTCTACCATTCTCCCTCGCGGTTCCCACAATTCCCAGCACAGGAACCGCGAGGGAGCATGGTAGACAGGCTCCTCCTCCTTCAGCCATCAGTGACACCAGTGACTGGAGTGCCGCCGGACCGGCGAAGCTGCCACCCGGTCCGGCGGCTCCAGCCTGGAACGCGGCCGCCTCCCCTCTCCCTCCCTCCCCCTCCATCATCTCTACCATCTCACATGCCCCTTTCCTGTGTCTCTCCCTTTCCCCTCCCCTCCATCATCTCTCTATTCCCCTCACCATCTCTGCCCCCCTTTCCTGTGTCTCTCCCTCTCCCCATCTCCCCCCTCCACCATCTCTCTATTCCCCTCCCATCTCTCCCCCTTTCCTGTGTCCTCTCCCTCTCCCCATCTCTCCCCTTCCCTGTCTCTCCCTCTCCCATCTCCCTCCCCTCCACCATCTCTGCCCCCCTTTCCTGTGTGTCTCCCCATCCCCCATTTACCTTAGAGGCGGGGGCCGGCCGTGTTCAGGCTGGAGCCGCCCGGGCCGGGTGGCAGCAGCGGTCTGGCGGCACTGGTGTCTGAAGGAGGAGGAGTCTGTCTACCATTCTCCCTCGCGGTTCCCACAATTCCCAGCACAGGAACCGCGAGGGAGCATGGTAGACAGGCTCCTCCTCCTTCAGCCATCAGTGACACCAGTGACTGGAGTGCCTCCACCGGCAAAGCTGCCACCCGGCCCGGTGGCTCCAGCCTGGAACGCGGCCGCCCCCCTCTGATTGCCACCGGAAATTTCCCGGTATCCCGGTGGGCCAGTCCGGCCCTGACTGCTAGGATTAAACAGTATCTGATTTAAATATGATGTGGACTCCTTCTCCCATGATTTTCAGCCAGTGACCTAAGAGAAAGAAAATCTGAATTCATGATGGCTATTCAAGTGCCACAAATTCAGCCTGGATTCAAGAATTACTTGTTTTGGAGAAGAGGAAAAGGTAACTAGGGCTTGCCATTGGGGTTTAGAATTTGGGTCTGTGTTGCACCCATGTAAAAATGTTGGTGGTATTTATAAACAGGTTAACCTGCAAGGTATATTCTCTAATCATCAAGCTGTGATTATAGAACCAAACTGCAAAATTAGAAGAAAATAAATCAATGCTACAATGAGCTCCAGCGAGTCTGGATTGTAGATTTTATATAAACTCAAATCGGTTCTCAAGTGTACAGGACTCTTTCCTTCTTCACTAAACCCAATATGATACATAATATGAAATACTTAAGAGTGGCCTTTTATTGTGGCCAGCCAAGGCACACCTGTGCAATAATCATGCTGTCTAATCGGCATCTTGATATGCCACACCTGTGAGGTGGATGGATTATCTCGGCAAAGGAGAAGTGCTCACTAACACAGATTTAGACAGATTTGTGAACAATATTTGAGAGAAATAGGCCTTTTGTGTACATAGAAAAAGTCTTAGATCTTTGAGTTCAGGTGTTGCGTTTATAATTTTGTTCAGAGTAGATAAAATTAAAATGTAGTTGACCGGATATTTTTTCGATTTAGATATTTTGATCTGAAATCCTTTTGAATTCAATTTGAATTCCTGACAATTAGTGCTAAACCATAACAATGATGGACAAAAGTTGGAGAATTTTTCTACATCCCACAGTTTTTACATTCTGATTTAATATGCAAAATAAATTCCAGGTTTAGTTAAACAACCCTGTGGAAGTCTGTTGGGATGTCAGGAGCCTTACAGATAAGAAAGTAAAATGTTGGCACGCAACAGAAGGCACAGGTTGCCAAGAAAACGCCAATAATGAGATGAGATAGATATTATGGGCTCTGAATCAATGTTAAAAATGAAAGATATTTTACTTTAATAATACAATATTGTCCGTAGACGTTAAGTTCCTTTAAAAAAAATAAAAGTGAATCCAAATTTAGGTAACGGAGTTGTGAGAATCCATATGAACTGTTTTATGACCAGAGGCTGTGTTGATGGATTGCGCTGCAGTGTGCTGCAGAACCAGTTTGACAATATGGGTTAAAGTCATTGTAATTTAGGGCTGACACCATGCACACATTGGAAAAAGACAATGAGACAATGAGATCCTAGGGGACATAGGAGTGGCCATGTCTGGAGGGCGGCTATGACCTTTTTTGGGTTCACTGATGCGAAATAGAAGTTGCATAGACCAGGCTGGAAGTGATTTGCAATGCAAATGAACAGCTTTCTCACTGGGGCCCATATCCCTGAGCTGTCAGATATTCACAACAAGCGCTGATATAAGTAGGTCATCTTTTTCCCTGTAGAATCCATCCCTTCGATGTATGGAACGTGGGTTTCTGTATATAGAACACTCAATATGATTAGCTGTTACAATGCCACCCATGCTGCCTATTTTCCTGAAATACAAAAGCACAGCACATGAGCCTCCTACAAGAAAACAAGAGGCGTTCTCTGACAAATCCTGTGTGACATTAGTAATAATAATAATATTTTTATATTTCCGTTTCGAAAAAATTATTTTACTTTAAATAACATTGGCTTTTGGACATACCTCTGTAAGCTCAGCAGGTTAGGTATCTAATGTGGTATCTGATGTGGGTCTAATTAATTTTATTTTAGGGGCCCGGCTGATAACTTTTTAAGGAATTTATCTTTGAAAGAACTAACACCCAAATATATTTAGGTCTATTCAATGAGCTCTGATTTTGGAGTATTACAAATATTAAGCTGAAAAAAATATATTTAAAAATAAATACTGCAAGGGAATTTTTTTTTTTTTTTAAATTCTGTTATTTTTGGAGTAAAACGTTTAATTCTCCACGATTACTGGTTTAGTGATTAAACACCATTCTGAAAATACAATGGTCAAGATTTGAGATATTTGCACTAAAAAGGTATAATAACCCTTTCACTACTCTCCATTCCCAAAGTCGGGGGTACACCGCGTGCAAACTTGCAAACAAAATTAATTTGTTGCAAAACAATGTAGTTTGCAAGTTACGCTGAGCCTTCCTTTTGCGCTGTGAGCACCTGTTAAACACTGGATTCAGACAGATGTTCCCTCTCCAGTTTGTGCCAGACAGGTCTCTAGCAGAGTACTGCGCACAGATTGTTAGGTGGTTATTCACTAAACTCTGAATTATAGCAATTAAAAATCCAAATTTAGGCTACAATAGTCAAACTTAGGAGAAAAATAACTAAAATTCTTATTATTATTATTATTGCCATTTATATAGCGCGAACAGATTCCGTAGCGCTTTACAATATTATGAGAGGGGATTTAACTATAAATAGGACAATTACAAATAAACTTACAGGAACAATAGGTTGAAGAGGACCCTGCTCAATCAAGCTTACATTCTATAGGAGGTGGGGTGTAAAACACAATAGGACAGGAATTTGCAATCAATTAAGGTGGGCTGCCCTTTAGGAGAGGGCAAGAGACAGGTATGTGAGGTAGGGGTTAGTCTTGGAGGCCATAAGCTTTCCTAAAGAGATGGGTTTTAAGGCACTTCTTAAAAGATGCAAGACTAGGGGAGAGTCTGATGGCGGGAGGCAGGCTATTCCATAGGAAGGGAGCCGCCCGCGAGAAGTCCTGCAAGCGCGAGTTGGCCGTACGGGTGCGGACAACGGACAGGAGGTGGTCACGGGCAGAGCGGAGAGACCGAGAAGGGACATACCTATGGATCTGTGAGGAGATATAAGAAGGGCTAGAGTTGTTCAGTGCTTTATAGGTGTGAGTTAGTGCCTTGAATTGACTCCTATAGCACACAGGAAGCCAATGGAAGGACTGGCAGAGGGGTGAGGTGTGAGAGAACCGGCTAGAGAGGAAAATCAGTCTAGCAGCAGCGTTCATTACAGACTGTAGGGGTGCAGTACGGCTTTTGGGAAGACCAAGCAGGAGAGGGTTACAATAATCCATGCGGGAAATTACTAGAGCATGGACAAGCTCCTTGGTGGTATCTGGTGCAAGAAAGGGGCGGATGTGGGCTATGTTTTTAAGATGGAATCTACAGGATTTGGCAACATGCTGGATGTGAGGCTCAAAGGTGAGACCAGAGTCAAGTATGACACCAAGACAGCGCGCTTGCAAGGATGGGCTGATGTTGGTACCACAAACTTGAAGGGAGAGCGAAAGAGGAGGATCAGTATTAGGAGGAGGAAAGACAAGGAGCTCAGTTTTTGAGAGATTGAGTTTCAGAAAGCGGGAGGACATCCATTCAGAGATGGAAGAAAGGTAAGCAGTGACACGTTGCAGGACAGCAGGGGAGAGGTCTGGGGAGGAGAGATATAGCTGGGTGTCATCAGCGTACAGGTGGCAGTGGAGTCCAAATGAGGTAATAAGTTTGCCAAGAGAGGCAGTATAAAGAGAAAATAGAAGGGGACCAAGGACAGAGCTTTGGGGGACTCCAACCGAGACAGGGCGAGGGGAGGAGGTATCATTAGAAAAAGAGACACTGAATGAGCGTTGGGAGAGATAAGAGGAAAACCATGAGAGGACAGAGTCACAGAGACCAAGCGATTGCAAAGTTTGAAGAAGGAGAGCATGATCAACGGTGTCAAAGGCCACTGAGAGGTCAAGAAGAATTAGTATGGAGTAGTGGCCTTTGGATTTAGCTGCGATTAGGTCGTTAGTAACTTTGATAAGGGCAGTCTCTGTAGAGTGGAGAGGGCGGAAGCCAGATTGAAGGGGGTCAAGGAGAGAGTTGGAATTGAGGAAATGAGACACACGGGTAAAGACAAGTCTTTCTAGAAGCTTTGAGGAAAAAGGGAGCAGGGATATGGGACGGTAGTTAGAGGAGGTGGACGGGTCAAGGGATGGTTTTTTTAGTATAGGTACTACAGTGGCATGTTTAAGGTCAGCAGGGACGATGTCAGATGAGAGCGAGCAGTTGAAGATGTGTGTTAGAGAAGGCACGAGACAAGTGGAGAGAGATCTGATAAGGTGAGATGGGACAGGATCGAGGGGGAAAGTGGTGGGGCGAGAGGAGCAAAGAAGAGCAGCCACCTCTTGGTCAGTGGCTGGGGAGAATGTCTGAAGGGTAGGAAAGGTATGATATATGTGTGATTGAGAAACAGAAAGGCAAGGAGGGGAGAATTCTTTCCTTAGCTGTTAAATTTTGTCAGTGAAGTAACATGCAAAGTTATCAGCAGTAAGGTTGGTTTGGGGGGTGGCCACAGCGGGGCGAAGAAGAGAATTAAAGGTGTCAAAGAGACGCCTGGGGTTGCGGGAACATGAACTAATGAGAGAGGAAAAATAGGACTGTTTGGCAAGGGCAAGGGCTGCACTGTATGAACACAATATGAATCTATAGTGGAGAAAGTCTGACTAAAAGCCAGTGAAACCTCTGGCAACAAAGTTGTTTAACTCTGTATGTGCATTATGCAGTGTTTCAAACTGAAATGCTGCAAATATAGACTAAAAACACCATGACCACTTCAAATCACTGAACAAAGGGGCATGTGGCAACAATGCAGCAAACTGCAATGGACTAGTGCTGTGGCAATATGACAATATATAGGGCAATATGAATGGTGGAGTTTATATGGAGACATTATGATACGTATTGGGCAAAATTACGTTACGGGGGATATGCAACATAGGGAAAATGATCTTGGGGGAATTATATTATTTGTAAGAGGATTGTATGATTTGTTGGGTAATAGCCCCATTGAGAGGCATGTAGCACAGAATAAGGGTGCAAGAGTATGCAAAATGTAACATATTCTCAGAATTTTATTTAAAATATTGTTTTCCTATCTGTAACGTAATTCTTCTAAAAATTATAAAATCAAATTAGAATTAAAAAAATATATATATTATTTGAGCAATAAATATTGTGCTATTTATGAATAATGAGAGGAAAAATCAATATATGCTTCAAATTCTCCAACACAGAAAGACCTTCTTTAGTGATCATTTTTTCGTAAATTACTTGATAGAAGAAACATTCAAAGGGAATACAGAGAGAAGTAAAACAGAAATGACTTAATCAGCCTGTTCACTGGTTTGAAATGAGTTTCTTCTCATTCTTATTTGCATTTCTACTATTTTCCCATTTTGTAAGTCAGTTGTCAACTCACCATGTGTCACTGTTTAATGAGACTCCGCTGAATTTCTAATTTTTCAGCTTCTTGTTGCTTGGCAGCCAGCGTTCAGCCGCATTAGAACCTTCCAATAATCCCAGTAAATTTAAGTGTTGTAGTAGCCTATTCACAGGTGGCCCGAGTGTAACCACCAAGGACTCCCTTTCCCGTATGTGATTATGGCCCGAGTGATTATAGCCAGTATATCTGTTCCAGACAAACACAAGCCGAGACTTAGTGAAGGGTGAAGAAGAACTGTTTTATTAGAAACAATGGCACAATGGTTATTGCACATCCTTTGGCGTCTAGGTGTCCATACCTGACCAGGTAATTTTATTAGCGGCCAGACACCTCGACGTCTAATAACATGTATACATAACAGACAGGGTTCCCATGCCCGCATCCCCAAACCTGTGTCAACACAAGATGGCTTTTCCTGAGTGCCCATTCTGTCCAAAGGGTGCTCGGATCAGAGGTGTCTGGCCGGAATGGTCTAGATGTTAAGTTTTGACGAGGCCATGAGCATCCTCCGATCCAGGTCAGAGTGTCATGGTGCTGGGTGGAAAGTCCCGGTTACTTTCATCAATGTCACTTTCCGTTAGTACATCAAGCTCCTTCATGTTCTTGTTACTGTTCAACGCCTCACCGCTTCCTCTGTCATCCCTTTAAATAGCTTACTGTTTGGTGGTCCTGGGACCAAGAGCGACCACAAAGACGTTTTACTGGATCGCAGCATCTACGCAATATGAGTTGAAGTTCCAGGTGATTTGTAGATTGCTCCCAGTCAGGTACGCTGTGCCTCTGCGAATCTTCTCTGGGGTTCTGACATCTCAGGGACCATTGAATGGGGTGCTGGGCCAGGAGGCACGGCCTGGAGGGGGAAAAATGAGGGTAATCATAGTTCTTTTAGTGGTAAATAGTTGTGGTTGGGAGCTCTAGTTATAAGTGAGCAGGTGGTCTGTCACAAGTGTCTATTCACTGAACTGGGAATAACAGAGAATTGATATTGTAATTGCAATTCGTAACCCAAAAGAGAAAAAAATGAAACAAACATCTCAGATTCTTCCTTTTTTCCTCCTACTTTTTGGCCTGAAATGTCAAATTCTATTTTCAATTATCTACAATTGTAGGTTTGTGCAAAAAAAGGCCCGCTTTTTAACACCGCAATTAATAATTCATTTATTCTGACCTCTCACCTTCCTAGTCATCAATCATACCACCCAACATGGGCAAAAAAGAAACACTTTAAGTTTAGGGATGGATGGCCAGGCATGAGACTCTTCGGAGAAATGTAAGGTGACTTACTAATAACAATGTATGCAACTGGAATCTAATTTAGAAGAACAATGCATCTTATTTACACAGACTGATTTCTAAACACATTTATTGTAGTTTAAATACACATTAGTATTCAACAGAAGACAAAAAAAAAAAACAAAGGATCTAATGGGTGTTCCCACCTCTCAGACCTTCAGTCTTTAGAGTGCAGCACTATATCTAAAGGAGAGGTGAGTGAATTCCTCTTCAGAGTGTTTAAACACTTACCCTCTATGTAACACTTTGTATATAATGTACATAAATGGAAACAAAGAAAGACATGAAAATAATTGTGCAGTATATTTAGTAGTGCCCCAAAAAGGTTGCGTGAGTTGTGAATATAAGTGAACTCACATGTTTTAGAGCCTTTTCCAGTTATAAGGCTCTAAACTCCCAGGCGCCTTCCAGCTTTTGGGGCACTACTAAATATACTGCACAAATATTTCTATGCCTTTCTTTGTTTCCATTTATGTACATTATATGCAAAGTGTTACATAGAGGGTAAGTGTTTAAACACTCTGAAGAGGAATTCACTCACCTCTCCTTTAGATATGGCGCTGCACTCTAAAGACTGAAGGACTGAGAGGTGGGAACACCCATTAGATCCTTTTATTTTTTTGTCTCCTGGTGAATACTTATGTGTGGTGGGGTATAAGGAGTACCCACAGAGTGTATACAGCAGCTAAAACCTATTTTATATCTATACGATAACACTATACAGCGGCCCCAATTCCACACCTTTTCTGTGTATAAATATTCTGTTAAATACACATTACTGGGAGTATTATTGCTGTGGAGCTCTGTAATACACTCAGACACATTACTGGGAGTATTATTACTGTGTAGCTCTGTTATACACTCAGACACATTACTGGGAGTATTATTGCTGTGGGGCTCTGTTATACACTCAGACACATTACTGGGAGTATTATTGCTGTGGGGCTTCGTTATACACTCAGACACATTACTGGGAGTATTATTACTGTGTAGCTCTGTTATACACTCAGACACATTACTGGGAGTATTATTGCTGTGGAGCTCTGTTCTACACCCAGACACATTACTGGGAGTATTATTGCTGTGGAACTCTGTTATACACTCAGACACATTACTGGGAGTATTATTGCTGTGGCGCTCTGTTATACACTCAGACACATTACTGGGAGTATTATTACTGTGTAGCTCTGTTATACACTCAGACACATTACTGGGAGAATTATTGCTGTGGAGCTCTGTTATACACTCGGACACATTACTGGCAGTATTATTGCTGTGGAGCTCTGTTATACACTCAGACACATTACTGGGAGTATATATAGCTGTGGAGCTCTGTTATACACTCAGACACATTACTGGGAGTACACTCAGACACATTACTGGGAGTATTATTACTGTGGAGACACATTACTGTACACCCAGACTATTATTGCTGTGGACTGCTGGAGTATTATTGCTGTACACACTCAGACACTACTGGGAGTATACACTCAGACACATTACTGGGAGTATTATTACTGTGGAGCTCTGCAATACACTCAGACACATTACTGGGAGTATTATTGATGTGGAGCTCTGTTACACACTCAGACACATTACTGGGAGTATTATTGCTGTGGAGCTCTGCAATACACTCAGACACAAAACAATATAAAGCTC